CACGAGCGCGTTCGCCGGGGAGCCGTTTGCGGTCGGGAGCGTCGCGTAATACAAATATGATTCAGCCGACACGCGGTCTCCGGGGGGCAGCCTCTGGCTGGAGCACCTCTGGCCGGAGCACTGGCTCGCAGGGTGCTTTTCAGCCGTGGGCTGGCTCTCAGGTGATCAACGCGAGGTGATAGCTCAACACTTCGCCGCACTGGATCGGCAGACCGGAGCTCGAACTGAGACTGCTGTGGCGCTCCTCTGCACGGGTGCTCTACGCGAGTAGTATTTAACGCCCATATCACTCCCCTGTATTGGATTTGAATTGGTGTGCTCGACACGACAGAATTACAGTATAACTCCACAGCACTGGATCCGCACACGACTACTCGACCCGAGCCATTACAGTAATGCTCCCTAGCACTTGATCCACCAATGGATGGTCGACCGGAAGCATTAGTGCATGGCTCCCAGCACTGGTGTTGTAATCTGAACTTTTCGAGGCGTTAAGTGTAACGCTGCACATACTGGTTAATCACACCGGAGTTCAACGCGAGACATTGCAGTAACGCTGCCCTGCATTGGATTCGCATGTGGCATCTCGACCCGAGCCATTACATTATGGCTCCGCAGCACTGGATCAGCACATGGATTCTCGTCCGAGGCATGGGTGTTACGCTTTCCAGCACTGTATTGGCACTGTGGGTCTGAACTCGAGGCACTGAGGGTGTTCGATTCAAGCCGTTCGATTCGAGCCAACACTCTACAACATGGGATTGGCAATCGGGAACTCGACGGCAAACACTGCAGTAACGCTCCTCTCGCATTACATCCTCACACATTTACTTGACCTGTGACAACAGTGTAACGCTCCCGAACAATGGATTTATTCATGGGTGAGCTACTCATGGCAATAATGTAACGCGTCTCAGTACTGAAGTAGCACTCAAGAGTTTGACCCAAGGCAATAGTGAAACGCTCTCCAGTATCAGATAACACTTAAAGTGTTCAACTTTTGGCGTTACAATAACGCTCCTCAGCACCGGAGCCGCACTCGGGAGAACAACACGACGCATTAGACAAATACTCCGTCTATGGCTCTGCTCTCTGCACTGTTTCACTCCTCCATTTTTTAGATTCCTATGTTTTCAAAGGATAAATCTCTTGTAGTAACGAAGACTGATGGTTACAAGTGATAGATGAGTGATGGTCTAGTTGAGCTAGCAGCACTTATTCAGATTACTTTAATAAAAACTGGATAATTGCTATGGATTAGATTGTGGGACGCCTGCATTTAAACAACTGATGAATAGCAGACGATCTACTATAAATATAGTTAAACTTTAATTTTTTTAAAGGTGTATAAAGAGTGTTTACTTTGGAAAAGACTACTTTATGAGCCTTACCTTTAATTTTAGCATAAAAATTGTCTTCTATATCAAAACGCGTTTTTTCTTGGATAATATAACTTTATTTTGTATACAATTTACATTCTAAAAGCAATAGACGACTAAATAGCGCAAAGCGTTCTTTCATTCACTTCCTAGAATCAATGATGAAGCAGGTCCCAATCATATGTACTAATACTTAACATTTACCATTATTGTTACTCCTAATGTCACCAACTCTTTTTGTACAATATATGTTATTCTAAGAACTGCGAAATTACTAAACTTCTTTATGCGTGGTTCAAGTTTTAATACTAGAAAATTATGAAATAGATTTTGCTTAGCACAAAATTCCTATAATTCTAAGGTTCTCAAAATTCATACTAGTGATGATTTTTCGATTCATAATATTGCTGGATAGTCGGGAGAATGTAGATCGTTTTACAAACTTTAAAATCTAGTTATTACTTTCACCACTAATTAGCTGACACGACTAACAAAAAATCTGATAATGGCGTACAGTTACTACAACTAATTCAATTTAATGAAGTTTCTCAATGAAATTGCGAAATTAAGAGTACGTTTTTCCTCGCCTGCATTGGTGAGATCGTTTATCCAGTTTTTCAAACTAAACCTTCTTAAGGAAATAATGACAGTTAAAAATAATTCTAACTACTGTATATGACTCATTCATTTTGAAACCAGAAATGAATTGTTCGGAATGCTGGGTCATTCTGAAGTGACGTGGTCTCGTGCGTGCGCAGGTGTGGCCGAGCCAGGACTCCCCGCGCGGGGAGGCGGACGGCCAGAGCTTCGTGTTTCTGGGCGACGAGCCGTCGTCGCCGTCGTCGCCCGGGCCGCTCAGCCCCCCGGCGGACGAGGCGGCGCGCCGCGACTCGGGCATCGACTCTCCGCAGGTACGCGCCCACCCTTCTCGCTTTTTTCTTCATGTTGCAGCATTGGCCATAGGTGCCCATAAGGGTAGGAATGGTCTCACCGCAGTGGCGTGAACTTTCCGTGCGTTCACAAAACTGCACAAAGAAGACTTGGTCTCGCTTTCCTCCTAGTCCTCGCCCTCCGTCCTTCTTGTCGTCTTCCAGGCTCTCGCACTCTCACCTACCCAATCCTCGCCCTCGTTTGTCCTCGCCCTATCGCATTTTCACCCTCGCGTCTTCTCGCCCTTCCCACTTCTTGTCCTCTCACCGTCTCGTTTTCTCGTCCTTGTTCTTATCCTTGTCATCACCCTCTCCTTCTCGCCTTCTAAACTTCACCCTTTCCCTCTTGTCTTCTCGATATAGCCCTTGCCCTCGTCTTCCCCCTTGCTTGTCCTCTCCCTCGCTCTCTCGCTCTTGTCCTCTCGCTCTAACCTTATCACCCTCGCCTTCGCCCTTACCCTCACCCTCTCGCCCTCGTTTTGCCGACTTTGCCCCGTTTCTCTGGCTCTCTCGCCAACGCCATCTCTCTCTCTCCGTCTCTCGCCTTGCTCTTTCGCCCCTGCCCTCTCGCCTTTACCCACTCTCAATCCCTCTGTTTTATTTCTCTACTCTCTGCAACTTACATCAATTGTTTTTGTTTTCTCTGAAATTTGTTTAATATATTTAGTATGAAGGGAGTAGAAACCATGATTGTATAACTTGATTCACGTTCTAACTGGAATTGTATTTTGAAATGTAATGATAATGATACATTCAAACTTCATTCAAATAAAAATCATATTTTGAGAATCGTGTTTGCTCATGTTTCAAGATGCACTTGTTATAAGATAATTACTCAAAGCATCTGGATTTTTACTGAAAAAAACATAACATTGATTGTCAAGACAAGATATTAATTAATTTGATTAAAATATTTGAAAAGTTAAACACAGTACATTGTTTTAAAATAACACTCAAAAGAAATTCTTTATTTGGGAGAGAGGTGTACTAAAAATTTGAGGCGAGCAGATCACTTTAGTTTACAGCTACTATAGCATTACAGTAAAACCTGTTTAAAGCGGAATCTGTACAAGCGGGAAACCTGCCTTAACCGGAAAATTTATCCGGACTGTGGAGTTAAATGGCATTTTACACAGCATAAAACGGAATCTGTCCAAAGCGGAAACGGTACGGTTTTTCATGTCCTGCGGGGGAAAAACATTCATGAAACGAAATTTCTATGAATTTAATGCAGTTGACAGAAACACGTGATATACTTTTAATGGAATGAATGTATCTGCAACTCTGTGTATGCAAGAATGTATCTGCATGGTGAACTGGCTTTTTTCATACATTTCCTGTCCCCGTGTTGACAATATTAACCTCCTGACAAGAGCCGTTTTGATCAAGGATATGTGAGGGTATCAGGAAGATCTATTTTTCTGGTCTGTAATGCATTGTGCGCAGAAAGAATCTGTGAAAAGTCCGGGTGCAGCCACTAGCCAGTTAACTGGTGTGTTTTTGTGAGTTTCCCAACCAGTTTGGAAATGGCTGAAAAATAAACCATAAAACTCTATATATTAAACTTTTTCAACTTCAGAAATCAAATGAAAAGGTATTAGTGAGAGAAAAAACCGAAAAGCAAGAACTCTAAATGAATGTTGGAAAAATAACATTATTTTAGTGAACAAGTTGTGAAGTTTTTTTAATTGTCAGAAATAATTGTGTTTAATATTAATTTATTAATGATTTCTTCCATAAATAAGTTGTATGTTAATATATCTTTGTAATTGTAATAAAGTCTTGTTACTAGTATCAGGACGGAAATATCCATATAACAAGTGTTTTAAATGGACAACTCTACATAAAACGAAAACCTCTCTGAACCTGAATAATTTCTTGTCCCGATCGATTCCAGTTTAGACAGATTTTACTGCTTAATGAAATCATCAAATTTATTTCAGAAATGTAGAATCATTTGTACAAAATAACATTACTCACGATCCGCAGGTTTCTGGTATCAAACTCGTCGTTGAGGTGGGGGGGGGTTCGACACGTGACGCGGTCGAGAAGAGAAACGGAAGGGAGGGGCTGCTCGGAAAACTTCCGCCGTCCCGGAAGTTGCGGAAATGGGAGAGAACGTCTCACGCAAACTCCCAACGCGCCGCTTTAAGCGGAAAGCGTTGGTCTCCATTGCTGGGTTTTACCCTTTATTATCTGTTGTCGGAGCGTCTCTCACGATATAACAAAACTTCAACTAGTAATAGACCATAAAAAAGGGGTTGACTCCAACTCGTCGTAATTAAAACGTTACAAATGACTACGTGAAACTCGACGATACGAAACTTTTGACCGCATAACCTGTGTCTAATGTATCACATTTTGGAAAATGTGGGAGATATGACTAATATTTCCGTATTATGGGCATAAAATAATGTTTAATAAGTGAGAAGCGAATCTGAACATTATTTAAGAATATTTCATTCAATAAACGTAAAGGAAAAACTGTCACGTTTGTTACAGTTTGTTAAAAAAAGTACTATTAATACTTTGAGTAATTCTAATTTCGTAGAACACATTAGTACTAATGCGTGTGTGATATAAGTTGCAAATAAAGTATAGAGTGTATTAGTATAGAGCAAATATTAGACATTTTATATAAACAATTATAACATAAAGTGTTCAAGTTCTAAATTATTATTACATTTCAAAGCGTAGGGTTGATAAAGCTGGTAAATTCAGAGATTCAAGGATTTACACATTTTTGAAGGGGTTCTCTCTCCATAGCATGGTTTGCCAGAAGCGGTAAAAGTTGATGATCCTGTCTGAATGTTTAAAACAATAATTTTCAAAGAGCGGAATGCTCGCACAGGTCCATCTTTTATCACCATCAAATCCTCGAGGACCTCTGTCCTCCCTGAGGAAACTGCCGCCCTGCTGCATCGCTAGGAACGCCCCCCAGGTCGCTCCGCTGCAACAGAATGTCAAAGGGCCCGCGCCGTGGCGCAACCTCAAAGGGCACTGCGCATGCGCGGCGACGTCAGCTCCAGACTAAACGGAAGTCCCCCCCCCCCGCACGCCGTGTACCAAATGGTTCCAGGTTGACAAATACATTACCTGACCCTAATAACCCACACCTCTGACATATTTTTACGAGCCGAGAGGGGAAATCGATGCTTCCGAATGTCAGAGACACCTTTTGCGAACTTTTTCGTTGGTCTCGAGAGGGGAATAAGTGCAACGGAGCGCAGGAAAAGAAGCCGCAATCAGCGCAAATGCCAATCGTTCCTATAAATACGGACTATGGATCGAGGTTGTTTAGAGGTTGACCATGAAGTGATATCTGGTGAGCGGATGTGGTAATCTCGGTCAGCTTGTGTATTCGTTTTCTACAATATTTAAAGGTTTGATTTCGTTCGCATTTCGTGTGAGTTGACTTATTTGTTAATTTTCAACTTCATTATTGAACGTGCGAATGTCATTTCATGCAAACTGAGTTGTTTAAATTATGTCAAGTATGGCGTTTTCAAGTTTTTTTCAATTTTTTTGTAACAAATGTGTAGTTAATGCTTCAGTATATTTCCAACAATTTCATTTAACATTTCAAATCATCTTAAATATATGCTTAGAGACAATAGTTTTTTAATTCAATTTTCAGTCAAAGTTTTTTAATTATAGAAGAAAAAACAGAAAATGATAAGTTATAATTAAATGTCAAAAATAATACTTCCTTTGGTCTGCTTATATAATAGTGCTGCAGAAATCTCTCTCCACACTGAGCCCAATCAGGGCACACAATTAAAAATTGCATTTATGTTGGTAGAAACCATATAACTGCGAAACAAATGAAGGGCACTTCTAGCATCTCTAACGATCGTGGCGAGTATGCAATTCACGTTTTCAAGCTGCAGCTCGTGCTACCAACTTAATTTCTGTCGCAAGCTCTCTCAGCAGCCAGTTGCCGCTGCGGACAGATTTTCCTGGCGCGCTATATTTTAACTGAAAATATCGCCTATGTAGGTCATAGAAGTTTGACGATCCGTCTGCCGCAACCTGGTTCTTGTTCACTTTGTTGACCGAGGCCCATTTTATCTGGAAAGCCCGAGACTTGGAGGCGTTCCGCAGGGCGCGCGCGCCTGCCCTGTGGGCGGCACGTGACGCGGGGCGTTTGCGTTGTCGCAGGCGAGCCCTTCGCCCGTGGCGGGCCCCGTGGGCGTGGGCGGGGGCCCGGGGGGCGGCGCGAGGTCGCCGTCGCCCGGCAGCACGGGCGGGCGGCGGCCGAGCAGCGCGCTGCTGCTGCACCCGGCGCACGCGCTGCGCCTGGTGCGCCCGCCCGCCGCGCACGTGCACGCCCACGCGCCGCCCTCGCCGTCGCCGTCGCCCGCGGCCTCGCCCTCGGCCTCACCGTCGCCCTCGCCCGAGCCGTGCGCCTCGACCGCCGCGCCGGGCCACGACGGCTCCCTGGAGGAGCTGCGCGGCGCCGAGGCCGGCGTCGGCGGGGGCGGGGGTCGCTCCAGCCGCGGCAGCGCCGCCTCCGTGGGCGCCGGGAGTAGCGTCGCGGGGCACGGCGCCTCCTGCTCCTCCTCCACCACCTCCTCCATGACGAGCGTCGCGGCGGCCGGGCGCACCTCCGACCCGTGGCTGCAGGTACCCGCCCGTTGCGCTGCGCAAGCTGGCGAGCGTCTTTTGTGCTGCTGTGTTTCAATGTAGTCTGCGTTTATTTGAACTGCCAGGTTTTCTTTTTTCATTCTTCACGAGTCATTCCTCATCGTTTCTCTTCTCTCTCTCTCTTTTTTCTTTCCTCAGATCGTATTGTACATGTATCATTCTCTTTTTTGTATTGTTCTCTTTCTTTCTTTCTCTTGTACTTTTTGAAATGGGGAATGTGTGTAAAAATAGTTTAAGTATTTATTATATGGTCTGTAATTTGTTTTTTCTATATCTTCTGCAGTTTTATGAAACTAAGTATCAGTAGTTTATAGTTTATTAAGACGTTATTATTATTATTATTATTATTTATAATTGTGAAATTGATGTAGCCTTAGTTTCGGTTGAGTTTACGAGATACGAACATGTTCATAACGCATAACAAGAAAGTTCTAGCATCGTGATATATTTGTTACTGATAATGCATTGTGCATTTTCCAACTTACTTTTGTGATGTGTAGTTCGACTGCATTTACTTCCTTTCATCTACATCACATCCCACCATCTTGCATTAACGCTCCTCAGTACACTTTAATCGAATGTTTATGCTATTCCATTCGTGAACGTAACTCCAACAGCTCTGAATGCTATATCTGGAATCCACCAATCAAGACGGTATACCTAAAAAATTACCGCTTTTTCCTACCACCTCCTCTCTTGTGGCAAATTGCAAGATGCGATTCTTCAATCAGAGGATGCGCTGATCTGTGCACAAAATTTAATTATTTTTTCGCGTATTTTGAAGCAGTTTTGGAGGTAGTTTTATTCAAAGAATAGTATTAAATACCACTCATGCATTGGGAATTTATAGATAAATTCCCTCTTTGCTACTGGGACTCTGCACCCTACTCCTTGCTGTGTGACTTGGGAATTTAGTAAATATTTCCAACGTACGCGTTGTATAACCTACGACTATTCTACTCGTGAAATTAAACCCAATAGTGTTTAAATATCCATACAAAGTACTACCATCTGGGCGATGTATCTTAAAAAACGTTCGCTTTTTCTATCCGATTTTTCTTGCCACTGTTCCCTACTGGTGAATTAACAACTGTCAGTCATCTATTTTACGAGGCAGTCGTACATTGATTGCTATGTCAATGTACAATATACCACGTATGTGCTATAACGTAATATCTTTGATTTTAACATAACGTTCTGTTATTTTCAAACTTTGGCACGTTCTTGAACTCTGTTGTGCATAATTGTATTCGTAAAATACTTCTATTAAATACCACTCGTGCTTTGGAAATTCTCAGATGGAAATTCTTTCCTCTTTCTTTTGGAAATCCTCTCCTCGCTTCGCGATTGGCGGATTTATCGACAGTTTCCAAAGCGCTCGTGGCAATCATGAATGACGAGAATGACCCAGGGGGGCCCGGGCTGCGCGCAGGTGCTGCCCACCGACCGACGGCGCAGCTCCACAATGACCGCGCGCTACTCGCTGCTGGACGCCCTCGACCTGGAGTACGTGCTGCTGCGCGCGGCGGCGCGCGGCTCCGTGGGGCCCTACAGCCTCTCCGAGTCGCTCCACAAGCTCACCTTCACGCAGGTACGGTGCGGCGGGGACGACAACAGCGCCGGACAAGCTGAGTCGAAATGGGCTGAAGTCGTTCTGAAGCCTGAGTTCCGAGCTTCAACTGTTGTCACGGCCGCGTCGCTCCGTGGACAAGGCGGCAAATACTTCCACTCTCTGCGATGCCTTAGGCTCAGCATATGTCTCGTTTTTTCTCCCAAAATGTGTCGGGCAGCAGGCCTTGCTGAGTCGAAATTGGTTGTGAGGGTGCTGAAGTCGTTCTGAAGCCTGAGTTCCGACCTTCAACTGTTGTCACGGCCGCGTCGCTCCGTGGAGATTATGGGGTACGAGTCTCGAGACACTAGTTAGAAGTTAGGTCGATTCAGCTGCTGTCTGTAGATGAATTCAAGCTGCCGACTGCTCTTCATGGGGTCTGTGACCAAAGTAGTTGACGCGCCGGGAAACTCGAAGTATCCATCTTAATGATAATTCCAATGTCCAGTAATCAAGACCTTAAAAACTTTAAAACAAGCCTCCACAATTTCAAGATATTGATTCCTAAACATTATAAAACAATCAGTTTTATGAGAAGGGGCCGCAGATAATCTGAGGACAAGCAGCTTACACAGGCGCCGCTCATGGTTTTGATTACTGTGCAGCGCAAGTCCACCGTCTGTTTAGTCTAACTGCCCTCGTTCTCTGTCGTGGGGCAGGGCTGTGCTCTCCAACAGCGTCAGTAACATTGACACTTGCAATCATTCCCACTTGACTGCTTCTGAGCCTCTACAATCTTTTCATATTGAAGCCTTCAGCGCTATGCTAGGTCACGAATTTACGTGACAACCGACTTTTTTAAACTACCGACACCATCCGACATTTCACGACTCGACGGACTGTAACTAGCTAATATTGTATTGTGGGCATCAGATGAAGGCTTCAAAACTCCGAGTAAATGTTTTGTCTTCTATCTGATTGGGGCTGCCTCCACGTTTACTACTGGCCTCATTATATACAGGGACTTAGTGCACAAAAAATACATTTTTGTTGTTCCAAGACCCTATTAACTAATGCCTTCCAGTTAGCTAGTACTGAAATTCGTCACTCCAAGCCTCATTTTTGCATGCAGTTACTGTTAATACCGAAGCATAATTTGTATTCTAACTGCTCAGAAGAACTGGAGAATTAATGATATTAATGTGCCATATGTCACATATGATTCCATGCATCGCATATGGTTATTTCCTTGAATATATACGGTATTGCAAATGCGAATGCTGTGTCGGGTTATCAAGAAATAAGAAAACCGAGCGGATAAAACTGGGTCCCCTGGCGAACTTCATTTCATTACTTATTCATGAAGCAAAGTACATAAGCCACTGGTTATATTCAGATGCTGGACGTGAGACGCACACGAAGTTCTGTTGATTTTTTTAGACCCAGCGGAGGACCGGTTTGCAGATAGTACTCAGACTTCCTCGAGATTTATAAAATGAACTAAGAGATGGTTTTTGATATTGTAGAGTCAAGGGAAGAGGGTTGAGGATGAAGGATGAAAAGAGATTTACACATTTTAACATTTACACACATTTAAACATATGTGAAGTAATGAACGAAAAACAATGAGAGTGACTTAATTCATATTTCCCCGTCTGAACACTTGTTTTATCCATCAATTACTTACTGTATTTGCAATTCTCATTAGCTTGTTGAAAAGGTTGACTTATGGGAAGAATATACGACTCCCCCTCTTCATATGTATGTATTTGTAATTGTAAGATCAGAATAATCCGACTAGTGCCAGTTAGTGGTGTTCGCAGGTCTGGGCACTGTTTCTATTTATTATCAATGCCTGAACAAAAATGAGTATTCCCATCACCGTACCCTTCTTTGGTCAGATTCTAATTCAAGAATCTGTGAAGACTTGTATTAGAAAGCTTCATTTTTGCCCCGGTTGGGATTCTAACGTGGGACCGTCTCGCTAAAAGCTACCGCGCTGCCCATGAGCCACCCGAGGGGCTATCTCACCGTAACTGGGTTATTTACTCTTGATTCGTTAGGACCCACCCGATACACGGAGTATTATTTCATATTGGCTCTGCCTGCCGCACACCCTCAATAGTAATGTTGATTTTTGCTTAAAGCGCCCACTATTCTCTAGTTATCATTTCTTCAAGGTTATCGCGGCTTAAGTCTTTATCATTCCATCTTGAATATGTAAATTGGTCTCAGATTATTTCCAACCCCGAGGTAGCTCTGTCCTGACCGATTGAGATTTCTTTGAATGGTAATAGTGTAAAGAGTTGAACAGAGCATTCTTCAGAAGTTTATTGTTGCTGTGTAATAATGCTTATTTTCCTTTCGTCTAAGTGAAGGAGTCTGCAATGGAATCATTTCGTGCTCTAAGCAAGATGTTGACAGGCTGTTTTTTATATCCTCCCGAATATCAGCGCAGCAACCTACACGGATGCTAATCAATTGCACATAGACATTTCTTACGGTCGCTTACAGTAATATGAAGAGGTTGTTTGAACAGCTTGTAGTAATATGAATAGATACGCCGTATGCATACCTCGTAGGCACAGTTAACGAAGTGCGGATTTCTTTATTGATGGATTCAGATTAAAGAACGACTCTCTAACATAAGATTTGCGTATATGTCGAGCTGGCATAGAGTACACTCTGAACCTCGCTCGAGATAATTTACGAGACGATACGGCGAGCACAAAAAGAAAGAACATTTGCTGTGAAATTTATTAAACTAAAGAAAAAACTGCAGGAATTCGAGAACTTAAAGCAGAGTCGGAAAAGTCGCAAATGGGGCGCGCAGAACCACAGAACATAAAATTGTATTGATATTATTTGACATCTTCATCAACATCAATAGGCGCAGAATGATTCTCTCGCAACGGTAACGAGCATCGAAAGGTTTATTACGAAATATGGGGCAATGATTTCAAGAGCACTGATAAGGACGCAAGTCAATTTCTTTCTCTATCTATTCCAATTATACGGATCGTCCCGATTATAAATACGTAGACTATTACGAGGAAAAATACGAAACACCTCTTTAAAAACCCTTCCAATAAAGAAATATTTGTTATTTCATGTTACAACACATGTTTCACAGCAAAAGGTTTTTTTTGAACCTATGACGGTTCTTCATGTTTGTAGTCGTGTCAGAAAAACTTTCCATTGATACTTTTGGGACTGTAGAGAAGGAGTCTCATGTCAGAGACAAAATCAGGAGAGGGGAGGTTAAAGTACGCTTTAGGCACCTTTATTTCTTTTCGTGCATAAATATTCAAGCCGAAACATGTTTCCATCGTGGTTCTGGTGGAGCGTATCGAACGATATATTCTAACGTAGTCGCAATCCTCAAATCTGGGCTCATGAAAACACGAAACCTTCTATATGACAAACAAGAGTCAAACATCTATCCACTCACAGAGCTCACTTGCAGCATCTAGGTAAATGTGGTGTAGCTTCGTTTGCAGCAATTACTAGCTTATGTGGTCTTTCCAATGACTCTAGTGCTGATTGCCGCCAGCTGGAATCGCTTTTATCTCTTGAAGCCTCGTCGAAGACTTGACTGCGCATTGGAAATGGAAATCCTTTAGTGAGTTTGGTTAACGTGTCAATGTAATTATTACAAAATCCGGTGTACGTATTACGCCTAGAACAGCAACATCTAAGTACTGAAGTCTCTCTTTACTAGAATCGACCCGACAAAAATGCACAAGGTTTTCCGACGT